ACACCTGGGGACACCTGGGGACACCTGGGGAGACCTGGGGACACCTGGGGGCACCTGGAGACACCTGGGGACAGCTGGGGACACACCTGGGGACAGCTGGGGACACCTGGGGACACCTGGGGACACCTGGGATACACCTGGGGACACCTGGGGACACCTGGATACACCTGGGATACACCTGGGGACAGCTGGGGACACCTGGGGACAGCTGGGATACACCTGGGGACAGCTGGGGACACCTGGGATACACCTGGGGACAGCTGGGGACACCTGGGGACACACCTGGATATACCTGGGGACAGCTGGGGACACCTGGGGACAGCTGGGGACACTCCTGGGATACACCTGGGGACACCTGGGGACACCTGGGATACACCTGGGGACAGCTGGGGACACCTGGGGACAGCTGGGGACACCTGGAGGCACCTGGGGGCACCTGGGGACAGCTGGGGACACCTGGGGACAGCTGGGGACACCTGGGGACACACCTGGGATACACCTGGGGACACCTGGGGACACCTGGGGGCACACCTGGGCACACCTGTGTGGGAACCAGGCCCATTCCCCCCCCATTTCCGCCGTTTTTTGGGTGTTTTTTCCCCCCAGATTTTCCCTGTTTTTTTTCCCCCCATTTCCTTTTTATTTTTTTCTTTCTTTTTTTTCCCCAATTTCTCCTTTTTTCTTCTCCCCCCCCAAAAAAAAAAAAAAAAAAAAAAAAAAAAAAAAAAAAAAAAAAAAAAAAAAAAAAAATAAAAATAAAAATAAAAATAAAAATTCCCCTCAGGCCCAGGACGAGTGGCGAGCGCTCGCCATGACCGTGGATCGCCTTTGCCTCTGGGCCGTGCTCGCCCTCACCGGCGCATGCGCACTGGGCACGGGCCTGGACGCGGCCTTGCACCGACCCCCGGCCACGCCTTTCCCGTGACGTCAAAATCCCCCCCAAAAAACCCGAAATTTCCCCAAAAAACCCGAATTTCCCAAATCCTGGATAGTTTTTCTCGGAAATCCCCCAAATAAAAGCGGAAATAAATCGCAAATCCCGAGGATCGCGTGGTTTTTAAGGGGGGATAAATCCCACAATGCTTTGCGCAGAAAGGGGGGGATAAATCCCACAATGCTGTGCGAAGAAAGGGGATAAATCCCACAATGCTTTGCGCAGAAAGGGGGATAAATCCCACAATGCTTTGCGTAGAAAGGGGGAATAAATCCCACAATACTTTGCGCAGAAAGGCGGATAAATCCCACAATGCTTTGCGCAGAAAGGGGGATAAATCCCACAATGCTTTGCGCAGAAAGGGGGAATAAATCCCACAATACTTTGCGCACACAGGCGGATAAATCCCACAATGCTTTCCGTAGAAACGGGGGATAAATCCCATGAGCCTTCGCGCGCACGGGGGGGAACATATCCCATGCTCCTCCGCGCTCTAAAGGGCGCTAAATCCCGAGATTTTCGGCGCTGTAAAAGGAGGAAAAATCCACGGATTCCCCCGCGCTGTAAAAGCGGAGAAATTCCCGAATTGAAATCGCGATAAATCCCGAAATTATCGGCGATGGAGAAGGAGGATCTATCCCAGCATGCCCCGCGGCACCGCCGTCTCCATGGCGACGGTGCAGGCGTAAAGCGCGGCGGCCGGAAAAGAGAGCGGGGTTTTACGTTGTGGGCGTGGCCTAGGCGGGGGTGTGTGTCGTAAAGAGCGGGCGGTGATTGGTCAGGATAGGGCGGTTCCCGATGACGTCATCGGCCGGCGCCGGAGGGGAGGGACCCGAGCGAGGCCGGCCCGGGGTGAGCGCG